GTTGCTGTCGCGTTCCAGGCGGGAAGGGGGTTTGCTCTCCCTGAGGTAACAGGGTGGCCGGTGGCGGCCGTCACCGAGCTGGAGGCTGCCGGGGGGCACTGCGGCTCACCCAGCCGGGTCGGTGTTCCTCACCTGAAAGACGAGCTCTCTGCGCACCCCGGAATGGGCTGCCCACCCTGAACTTCTCAGCACGGAGGTCTAGGACAAGGGGTAGGTAACGATGGCTCTGTGGAAAGCCGCAGGCTTTCTCATGGGGCACAGTACGAGCCCCGGCAGTGGGATCCACCCTGTGTCTGACTTAGTCCCTGTGCTCAGGTCAACTAGATGAACACAAGAGAAGGACGCAGCCTGAGAAAGTGGAGCAAAGAGATGCTATAGTTAGAAAGCACAAGAGCGTCGACAGCTACACAGCTCTCAAAATAGAGATGCAGTTCTTAAAGTACTCAGAATCTTTCTTCCCATTGTCTAAGCGCGTGCAAGTTGTGCTTGAAGGGTGTTTAAGTGTTGCCCATTTAAACTTTCCAGCTCATGCAACAGTCATCTATAAATGTACACACTTGCTTCACCTTGCTTTGTGTCACCTGGGCAGACCTCTGTTCTTCGCTGTGAACATCTTGTCCCTGATTGAGTAGGCTCTGGTGTGCTTGCATGGGTGAACAGGCTGCTGCGCTGGGGTGGGAAGGGAGCAAGCAGCTGCTTTAGGTAATGCTTTTATAAGCATCGCTTGTTTTAGAGGCTCCCCAAGAGCACTGTCCAAATGATGGGTGAAGGGCACTGCGATGTGCTGCTCTCCAGCGCTGGGAGAGGTAGGTGAGACACACTATAGCAAGGTGGGGGAAGGTTCCCCACGGAAGGTTTTCTGTAACAAAAACCTCAGATGATCTTTAACCTCTCTGCAGATGAATGTCACATGTTTCATCACGCTTTCCAGGCTAAGCCATCTCTCCCTTTCCAGAATGAATGTACTTTGATTCCCTCAGTGAGTGTGTCAGATACATTTTTGTGTTTGGGTAGAGGCAATCTGAAGTTATCTTTAGATGTCACAGGTCTCTTCAAGTCCTCTGAATCTTCTGATCAATACATCAACCAGATTGCAAGTGGGTTCCCCCTGGGCTTTGCTTCAGTTAAAGATGGGATTTTCAAGCAATAAAAAGCAAAACCAAAACCGAACAAAAAAAAAAAAACAAACAAAAAAAGAACAAAAAAGTATTTCAAGAGTGTTGTCAAAGAGGAGTTTGGAGTTGTTAATATCAGAGGTATGACAGTAGAGAGATGTTGATGGTTTGGGTTACTTCAGGTTATGGGAGTCTGAAGGGGTGGAGTAATTGCAGTGTATGAGAAAGGAACTCAGTATGGAGACTTGAAAGGGCTGGTGACTGAAAATATGAATGTTTTTTCCCTTTGAACGTCACCTATCAACATCCCGGGGACACGGATAAATGCTATCTTCCCTGTTTAATTTGAGACGCAAAGATGACTTACCCAGACTTGTTTGGTAGGTCTGTGGCAGCTGCATGTTGAGCCCATGAGCCTGAGCACCAAACCTGCACAGCGCTGCTGCTTTGGGCTGTCTGTGTCCTTGCAAATTAGTTGGGCAAAGTCGTGTATACCTGACAGAGCCTATAAAGTCTAAAATAGCTTTAGGTAAAGGCTAAGGCACAAAAAATACAATCCTCTGTGGCACACTGCAGCAACGTTCTCAGATTCCTTCATCTGTGTTAACCTAGTAAGTCCCATTTATTTTGCTGACAAGGAAACCGATGCTCAGGTAATCTCAGTGATCAGTCACAGAATGAGTCAATTGCAGAGGAGTAGGTTTTCTAACTTCTTACACCCAGTCCTGAGATTTAGTCACAAAAGCTGCCTCTGTGCTGGTTTTGGACTGTGATGTCTCTTCCCGAGTAAGATGAGTACAGACTTGTTTGTTTGGAGAATTTTTGGTATTTGCTTTTGTTGTATGTGGGTTGTTTTTTTTTAAACACAGTACTTCCGACCAGTGGGAAGTTTTCCAAAGAGTGCTGAAGCATCATCATTTGGATTACCGCCCCCCCCCCCCCGCCGACACACCTCCTGGACCCCCCCCCCCCCCCCCGCCAAAGGGAAATCCACTGCACTTCCATCTAGGAGCTAAGAGAAACTTAAAAACGGAAAGTCTAATTTCAAGGTGGTGCTCTGGGTGAGAGAATGGAGAGGAAACCACCAGTGCTCTCTCCTGACCCTGGAAGTCTGGAATAACTAGTAATTACAGCAATACCAAAAGGGACAAAGACGGGTTATTTCAGTGAGTGAGAGCAGGCAAGAGGAAGAAGTAACGGTGTAAGCATAGAGTTGAAGAGGGTTTTTTTATGGTTGGGGGTTGCTATAAGCATGAAAACCAGGAGAAGTTGAGACTGCAGAGAGGCAGCAGCTAAGAGAGGCTCATGGGTGAGGAAGAGGGGCAGATACAGCGCAATATGCCAGAAAAATCCCCATAGCCGTTTGGATCCCAGCTTGCAGGTGCCCCTGCACCCCTCTGTGAGTTGGGACCTTGGGAGCTGGTGGGCAGCAACTGTCGTCAGTAATGCTCTCCTCTCAGTAGAGCCAGATGGGGCCCTGCAAGGTATCGCTTCTCAAAAGAGTACTGCCTTGCCTGCTGTGCCCAATCTGTCTGGAGGAGAAGGGGCAAAGGCAGCAATTGAAAGGTTGTTTTGATCCCTAGGACTATCAGCTGAGTCACAGGAAAGGAGCAGGAGAAGTTTGGGGACCCAAATACCCACAGCACTATGTCAGCAGCACAAGTCTGTGTCCATCACCATCCTTGAATTAGGTCTGGAGCCATACCTCTGTTCTCTCTAGAAAGCACATTGTCCCCTCTGTCTTCAGAGGAGCAGTACAGCTAAATGGTGGAGTCCTGACTGAGCTGGTGCTGAAATTCCCTCAAAGGGAGTGAAAGCACGAGGCTTAGCAAGGAGGCTTTCTTTGTACAGGATGCTGATTTGGGCCAGGGGGAGTATGAACTGAAGGAAGGTTGGGAGAAAGGACTGTTGCATTGCTTTGTGCTGAACCTATGCTGTCTCATGCAACGAAATGCTGGTGCCCTCAAACACCTGCTGAATGGGTGAGAAGGTGCTTCAGATGCTTTGCTGAGGAGTGTAAAGCCAGCGAGACAGAGCACGGCAGGGAATGCTGGTTAAAGGCTTGACGTGGAGGAGAGACACGCAGTCTGATGAGCTATAGCAGAGCATGTCACAGGCTTCTGAACGGCGCTTGGCTGGTTTTGAGTGCTTCAGATCTGTGATGGGGAGCAAACAGGATCTTCTGTCCCTGGTTCCTGTACTTCTCCAGGCTATTGGCTGTAGTGCCGGTGTGCATGGCTGGGTGGGATTGCCAGTCCCACAGTGGGCTCTCTCCTGCCACCAGGGCAGAGACAACACACTCAACAAGAAGCAAAGCTGTGACATTGACTCACAGCACGAAGCAGGGTACAGCTCTGCTGTGGCAGTTATGCCCAGCTCCGAGTTCTTATCTGATGATTCCGCCTAACTTTTATAACCCACTTGCAGTCAGCAGGAGCACATCAAATGCCAGGCAGAAAAAGAGTTGATGCTCTGGTTCAACCCGTACCACAGTCCCCAGCGGTTCTGGGTCGATCCGAGCAATTTGTGAGGCAGCAGACTGGAATCAGACAAACCCCAGTGCTGTCACACCCCGGGAGCCGGACTGGCTGCCAAAACAATGTGGCTTTGAAGTGGCCCCAGGAAGGGCCTCCTGTACATTCAACAGCCACTTGGTTTCAGGCTTGGAGGGAGATGGCATTCATAAGGTCTCCGATAACCTCCTCCGGGGGGAGTTCTCGTTTGCACACATAAGTAGAGGCTGCCTGATGAGCTCCACCAGGCAAAGCACTGGGCGGGCAGCCGTGCCCTCCCTCCTGTGCTCTCTGTTTTTAGGGTCTTGCTGCTGTCCCCAGCCATCCCAGGCTCAGATTTCGTGAGGGGCAGAGAGTTCATGTGCTAATTACGGCTGATGAAATGGGGCCAGCCACCCTGATCCTTCATGTGACTGATGAATAGACTTTGTTTCCTTCCCTTCGGCAGGCATTAATAAAAGGGATAAAGTTCAGGATTTCAGAGAAAACGCCGACATATCTTACTAGGCTTTGACAGCAAGCAAGCAAGGAGGATTTAAGGAGCGTTAGCTGCAGCTCTCCCAAGGCTAGCTAGGCCAGGTCTTAATCTGTACTGGGTAAATTCAAGCACTTTCTCCTTGAAAATGTCTCGTAGTCCTTGAAACATGCTCCTGTTTTCCAGCGGCCCTAATACTGCTCTTCTAGCTTTGTATTTGTTGAGTCTCTGTTGAGCAGATTTGCCACTTTCCTGCAGTTCTTCATTGACCAGCGTGTGAATGGGTATGACAGGAGCAGGATGACCACAGCGCTGTAGGGTGACAGCAGGGCAGTGTGTGTCACCTCTGAGGAAGCCCCATTTTGCCCTAAGTGGCCACCAAGCGAAGGAGCATGCACAGTTTATTTGCATTCCTGACTGAAAAGCAAACCTGCGGCCTGACCTTGGCAGGACTGGAATGTTTGGAGGAAAAGGGGTGGTGGTGGTGGGGAGCAGGTTACAGAGTGCCGCCAAACTTAGGGAACTGAAGGAAGGGTGTTTGCAGACTCAGTTCGTTTTTGTGTACAGTGAAAATAAGCACAAGGAGGGTTGAGGAGACTTGAACAGCAAGGACTTGGTGGTTAAAGGCAGGTTTCGTTTCATCCTTAGTTTCTCCCATAGCTCAGAGCTTCCCATCAGGCTCACCCCCTTTCCTGACCTGTGTGGTTTTTCCTTCCACGTGCAGTGTTTTTCTTCAGGGGTGAGAAGAGTGGATGTGGACTTTCTTTCAGTAGAGCGTTCCTTATGTGATTGGTTTGTGTGCGTCGTTGCCAGAGGCAGCAAACAGTACAGAGAAACCTCTGACTAGGCTGGGGTTCAAACCAACGTGTATCATGATCAGGAGATGCCAGAGGAGAGCACAAGTGAAGGGCGGCTTTGTGACCACGTGTGCCAAATCCATCTGACCAACCTGACCTGCAGGCAGTCTCCCCTGGCCATGTGGTGTCCCAGAGCAGGAGGGAACCTGGAGCTCTGTTGCTATATCAAGTCCTGGTCCCAAAGGAGCCCTGACAGAGAACATTCCCCCCATGCATTACAACAGCTTCATGCATTCATTGGTCTATGCCCTGGTCCAGCAGACATGCTCCCCTGTAGCCCACTGCCCTGGTTATATTCTCCACCACATCATCCAGTGTGATGCTACCTCCTGTGCCTCACTGAGGAAGCTCAGATCTGCAAGAGACCAGGATTCCTATATAAATTAATACTCAAAGTGAGAAAAGATCACCTGAATCAAGGGGCCTTCAGGATATCACAGTAATAGCCAGACTTTGAGAAAGGTGAAAGAGCATCAAGAACGTTCTGCCACTCCTTCCCTTGTTTGCCCTCTTGCATCTGGCTGTGGCCACAATGTAATCAGTGTAATCACAGTGTAGTCAATACATTCTGCAGCCAACAGAGAAGGTGACGGTTGGATTGTGATAAGGTACAGATAGGTACCTGTATGCTGTGATGTGTAATCTGTGGTAGGGACACGTGTGTAAGAGGCTGCATTGCGCAGTGCTGTGAATAGCTCTTTGCCTGACCCTTAAAAACAGAACATCCCCAAACATGATGGATGTGCTTACCCAGGCAGGAGTTAAAACAGATCTTTTCCCTGTGTTTTGGTCCTATCCCATTACTGCTTGAATGGGTGCTTCATTTCATTCCCGCAAAGGGATCATTATCTGCTGGGTCAAAGGCAGAAAAAGGCAGCTCTGCAGAGGAAGAGCCTCTCCAAAGGGGTAGTAGAAGAACCGCAGCAGCAAGGGCCAGCTCCAGATTCTGCATGGAGAGCAGTTTTGGAAATGCAGGCACTACTCTAAGTACCTTGTTGAGTCTGAGCTCTCTGGAAGAGCACCTGGTAGGTGCTAAACCGGTCTGGCTAGTTTGAAATCTCTTGCCCCAGTGCTAGGTCAGGCGTTCTACAGGATGAGAGAGCTGTGAAGGACGGTTCTTGTCCTCTGTTTGCCATCTGCTGCGTGTCTCTGGTTTCCAGTGGTCTGGAGAGTGCCTGGGCCCTGCCTGCCCCACTGGCAGTTCTCTTTCCCCCAGCCTCTGGTGGTGCCCCTGAAGGCATCAGTCAGTCAGTGTGGCTGGGGCCAAGGCATGACTGATTATAGGGTGGAGACACTGGTGCTCTCAGTAATAGCTGCTCATTTCCCAAATCTCTGCCTTGAATAACATCAGGGCTGACTGAGGAATTCCTAATTAAAGGGGACACAATCAAAGCTGAAGCAGTATTGCTTCAACATCAGCCACTTGTGTCCATAATCCCCAGAGGCCAGAAGTTCAGGAGAGAAGAGTAAATGTGAAATGAGAGAGAGCCCCACTTTGGCTGTTCATGTTTGCTTGGTTGGTTTTGTAGGCCCCATGTACAAATAAGGGGTTTGATTTCTTTTGTCTCCCTAATTTAATGCAAAGCAACAGTGGTGCCATTGACACTGGATCTGTGTCAGCGTGAGCCAACTAAACTCAAAGTTTCCAGCCCTGCAGCAACAAAGCAGATAATCCCACTTTTCTCCAGCTGTGGAGCTGGAGCCGTGCTGAGCCCCCTCCCTTCGTGTGCAGGACACCAGCGATCGTGCAGTGTGTGTTTGTGTGTCAGTAGCATGGGTGGCATGGGCGAAGTTGAGCAACCACCCGTGCCAACGCGGGCCAGCCATGTGCTTTGCGGTGGTGACACCTAGTGGGGAACACTTAGTGACCCGGACTTCGCAGCCGCGTTCACCGCCTTGCCTGTTGTGATGGAAGCCAGGGAGAGGGAGGCTGGGCTCTGGGGTATTCTGACAGCTGAACAGCCTGTGAGAGTGCCAGGGCTGCTTTTAGCCTTGCCCTGTCTTGGTTTCTGTTTTCCAGAGAGAGCTACCGATGGGTCCCTGCGGAGCGAGGACTGGGCTCTCAACATGGAGATCTGCGACATCATTAACGAGACTGAAGAAGGGTAAGGGAGCTGGCACGCATCCAGCAGCAGGTCTCAGCACACCCTGTAACACTGCATCCCTAGAGTGCAGTGGCAGCATGCACTGGTGGAGGTAATAAGCTAGCTTTTCCAACAGTCCCTTAGACAAGACTCTGCTGGGAGACCTAGAGCCACAGCAAAGCTGTCACAGCAGATACTTCCCCATTATCTTTGTGAGAGCTGGGAGCCATTAAAACAGGCCTTCAGGGTCCCCAGGAAAACCTCAGTTCAAGCCAGGCTGCCTCGCATCTTCCAAAGGCATATGTGCAATTCTTCCACTTCAGTTTATCCCTCCTTCATACCCCTCTCTTTCTTTCCCCTGGGAATGTAAAAATCTGCAGGCTGGTGACTGAGGAGAGAGGAAAATCTCAGGCTGCTATTCAGTCCTCTGAGTGTGCAAGTCCTGCTGGGGTTCACTTCTCAGGTACTTTCATGTACAGTCACTCAGACATACGCAAAGTGGGTGGGGGAGGCCTTGTCCCCTTTCCCTTTGGAAAGGTGTTCAGAAATCTGCCAGATGCATTAGCTCTGGATCTGGGGATTTGCCAGTGAATTCAAGGGGGCTGCTTCTTGTCACAGTGGAGATATAAAGAGCAGCATGTAAAAAGGAAGGTGCTACATGGAATAAAAAATGCAGGTTTCACCCCTGCTGTCCTACCCCCCAGTGATGCTGACAGAGGGTTAGCAAGCCCAGTTTTCAGCTTCACAGTTCTGTGAAAACAAAGTCAAACATCTTTGCTCACAGGTGTGTCACCAGTTCTTTTCCATGCTATCCCCACAGTGCAAATACACCTGTCTCTGTCCACCGTTCTCAGTCCCAAGCTGTGGCCTCTTAGTGTTTTGGTTTTGAGCACCTGATAACACAGTTGTACCCTCCTGGCATCATGGCTGTCCCATTGGCCTGCTAATGCCCATCCACAGCAACCATGCTGCTCCACAGACCAATACACTCCTGGACTCCTCAACACCCTGAGTTGTTGCAGACATCAGCACAGAGGCCTCCAGTTTCAGTAATAGCACTCATCAGCAGGACCCCACTCTTGCAGCTTGACAGGCAGACAGCTTTACCAGCCATTGCTTCAAGGTGTCCTGAAAACATGGTGGGGAAGGTCACCTGCTGAGTGTATGGGTCATCCAGAGCCAGTGGCTGTTTTGCTTTGCCTCTTTCTAGGTGCGTCTCAACCTTCTGATGGTCTTTCTTTGATTTTTCCTGCAGGCCCAAAGATGCCTTCCGAGCCATTAAGAAGAGAATTGTAGGGAATAAGAACTTCCACGAAGTTATGCTGGCATTGACGGTGAGTGGTCAGGGCTCTTTCTCAGCTCTGTGATATCCTGCTGTAAAGCTGAGTCCCTGGCTGAAAAAACACAAGTACTTAAAACCAACAAGGCAAACACATAAGCAGAGAAGTCTCTAGCTAATGCTTCATTGCCTCTGAAGGTCCTGGAGACATGCGTCAAAAACTGCGGCCATCGCTTCCATGTCCTTGTATCCAGCCAGGACTTTGTAGAAGGTGTCCTGGTGAGAACAATCCTGCCGAAGAACAATCCACCTGCCATAGTGCATGACAAGGTGCTGACCCTCATCCAGGTGAGACAAGAAGCGTGAGCATCTGTGCCAGTTCAGACACTGTTAGTCTTTAGGTGTTTGTACTGAAGAAGGTGTTTGTACAAAAGACTCCTGTAAATCACATTGGCCTGTGCTGTCTTCTTCTTCCTAGTCCTGGGCAGACGCCTTCCGCAGCTCACCGGACTTGACTGGTGTTGTTGCTGTGTATGAAGACCTGAGACGGAAAGGCCTGGAGTTCCCCATGACTGATCTGGACATGCTGTCACCCATCCACACACCACAGAGGGTATGGGAACATTGCTGAAGTAAAGGGTGCTGGGCAGCTGCCGTTCTGAAGCTGTGAGGGGCTTCAGGAACTCTAGCTTGCATTTAGAGGGCTTTTGGGAAGTGAGAAGCTTCAGGACAGCCTCTTTGCTGAAAGAGCTTTTGAAAGCAGATGGGGAGTTGCCATCAACATTTGTCTGCTAATTCCACCATCCTGTCAGCTGTGAGTGTCTAACATCTCTCTTTGACTTTTCCCACCTCTGTGTGTAGACTGTGTACAGCTCCGAATCCCAGTCTGGGCAGAACTCACCTGGGGTCAACTCCCCTCAGCAGATAGAGTCCATCCTCCACCCTGTCACCCTGCCCACCGGGAGAGGCACATCCAGTGATGCACCCATCACACCCACACCAGAGCAGGTGAGTTAGGCATGATCCCCATGGTGTTGCTGACTCTCTCTGCATTTGGGGGCTGTTTCATAAACCCTGTCTTGGTCCTTCCTCAGCCTCTGTGTTGCGTTCAGAGGTAAGGGAATTTGGC